AGTGCCATCACCTGGTATTGAAAAAATATATGATATCAAGAGATTGTACTACACTATCGTGAAGATAGAGAAGCCATACAACAAGAAGGAAATTGTGCAGTGCCACAATTGCCAGGCGTATGGCCACACGAAAACTTATTGTCACCATCTGCCGCGTTGCGTGAAATGCGGTGAACAGCAGAAATCTGTGGAGTGCACCAAACCAATACAAGATCCTGCAGTATGTGCACTATGCCAGGAGGGACACCTGGCCAACTACAAAGGCTGCCAAACCTATAAGAGCCTCAAATCCAGATACCAGAAGAACCGGATTCAAGATGAGACAACCAGACCAAGAAGAGAACCTTCTAGAATTGTTAATAATAATTTATCATACTCCGAACTACTTGGAGGTAAGAACCCAAATAATACATGTGAAGCCCTGCCGCAGCAACTACCTCAGCCCCAACCTCAATATTCTGTTCATCCTAACACACATAATCATCAACAACCTCAAATTCCTCATATTCCTCCTCCTTCAAATGCAACATATCTCACCAGTTTGTTAGCATCTTTCCTCACCGATTTCAAATCCCTAGTTACTCCACTCATATCACTCCTTACAAATCTCGTATGTCACCTCATCCCTCCTTTAAAAAATCCTTAATGACTCACATCCCAAAACCCATGTCCATTCTCCTTTGGAATGCGAATGGTGTTAGAAATCACGTTGACGAACTAACAGCTTTACTACAGGACAAGAACATTGACGTAGCCCTAATTACAGAAACTCGACTGACCATAAAACAGCATTTCAAAATCCCACAGTATTTAACATACCGTACTGACCATCCTGACGGCAGAGCACATGCCGGTACTGCTGTCATCGTACACCAATCCCTCTCCCATCACTTACTCCCATTACCTACTCAAGATTTCCTACAGTCAACCGCTATTGTAATCAAAACCTTCTCCTTTCCAGTCACCCTTGCATCAGCATATTGCCCTCCTAACAGATCCATATCCAAGTCCAGTTCAGTTCTCTCCTCAACTCCTTAGGTCATCATTTCATCCTGGGTGCAGACTTAAATGCCAAGCATCAAGTTTGGGGTTCAAGAACCACGAATTCTCGTGGCAGAACATTTCTGTCTGCACTCAATACCCAACGTTTCAGTCTCCTTCCACCCAACTCACCAACCTACTGGCCCACTGATCCTAACCGCAATCCTGATATCCTTGATTTTTTCATCCACAGTGGTTTAGGTCCCCTCAATCATTCTCTTACTCGTCTTGACGAACTTTCCTCAGATCATAGTCCATTAATACTTCAATTATCAATAGCTCCTATTCCTAAACCCACTTCACCGTCCTTCATCAGAGGCCCAATTAACTGGAAACTCTTTTATCAAATCCTTTCCGATAAAATTGACCTTAGAATAAACCTGAAAAGTCCAGAAGACCTCCATAATTCCTTTACCACCACGATTCAGCAAGCAATCTGGACTGCTTCCTCTCCAAATTTCTCCTCGAAAATTCCTAAGAAAAATAATTTACCTCAGCACCTGCTAGATCTAATTCATATCAAACGCCGTGCCCGAATATTATGGCAACGTTCAAGACACAACACTGATCGTCGCTCTTATAATTATTTCACTAAACAATTTAAGCAGGAATTGGCCATCTTCAAATCCCAATCCTTCAACTCCTACCTTATTTTCCTCTCTGTTCACGACAATTCTCTAAGGAAGATCACCAACAAAATCCTTAAATCCCATCATATTTTCCATCCCCTCCGTCGATGCGATGGCTCCTGGGCAGCGTCTGATGAAGACAAAGCTGAGGAATTCGCCAGACACCTCTCCAGAACATTCACCTCACTTCCGGAATCCAACCCCATCCATACCATAACAGTAGAAGAATTCCTTACATCACCCATTCCACTTTCCTTACCCCTAAAGCAATTAATCCTTCTGAGGTCAAACATCGCTTACAAAAACTTCGTAAATCTCCTGGATACGACCTCCTTACCTCTCAAATCCTTCGACAACTTCCTCCTAAAGCTGTTATATTTCTCACTTACTTATATAATACCATCCTTAGAACCACCTACTTTCCTCTTTTGCGGAAACATTCCAGGGTAATAGTGGACTATTATCCTGTTTCCGAAACTAGGCAAATCTCCCAACACCTCTACGTCCTACAGACCAATTAGCCTACATCCAATCCTCTCCAAAATCTTTGAAAAAATCCTCCTGAAACGAATTCTACCTTTTATAGAATCCCAAAATCTTCCATCCCATCAATTCGGATTTCGATCACAACACTCCACAGTCCAACAAGGACTCCGAGTGGTCGATCATATTTCCGCAGCACTGGAAAGCAAGCAATATTGCTCGGGTGCTTTTCTGGACATAGCTCGAGCTTTTGACCGGGTATGGCACCCCGGGCTTCTTTCCAAGCTGAAAACCTACCTACCCCAGTCCTTGTACCTAATCCTCCGCTCCTACCTCTCTGATCGTACCTTTCGGGTTCGCTGTGGTTCAGAATTTTCCGACTCCTACCCAGTTGAAGCCGGTGTTCCTCAAGGTAGCGTCTTGGGCCCCGTCCTTTATATCCTTTTTACCGCCGATATCCCTGTCCATCCCAATACCTTCCTGGCAACATTTGCTGATGACACCGCCATCCTATCATCCAACTCAGATCCCGAAATAGCATCTTTAAATCTGCAAAGGCACCTCTCCATGATTGAGCACTGGTGTCATAAATGGCGAATCAAAGTAAACGAATCCAAATGCAAACACATTACCTTCACACTCCGCCGCAGACCCTGTCCATCAGTCCACTTTAATTCCATCCAGCTTCCTTTTTCAGATACAGTCCGGTATCTTGGCTTTATCTTAGACCGAAGACTAACGTGGAACCCACATACTAGACTTAAAAGACAAGAACTTAACCGACGATACGGCCAATTATACAGACTACTTACAAGAAAATCTCAACTTTCAATTGACAACAAATTACTGATCTACAAGACAATCCTGAAACCTATTTGGACCTACGGACTTGAACTTTGGGGGACAGCAAAATTCTCTAATATCAAACGCATCCAATCCTTTCAATCCAAAGTCCTCCGAAAAATAGTCGATGCTCCGTTATATGTAACCAACAAAACCCTACATCATGACCTTAATATCCGATTTGTCCTTGACCTTATCCCTGAAAAATTTTCAAAATTCCATCAGAACCCTATCAATCATCCAAATCCCCTAGCTCAATCCCTATCTAGTTCCTCCTCGAAGGTTGAAGCGGCAGTGGCCTAGAGATCTTTTATAGTATTTATTTTGGAGTTCTGGCAATGGCCAGATTCTCCACTCAAGACATGAATGTATGTGGCTAAAGCGCTCTCGCTCAAACTCTACCGGCTTTAGCATCAGCGAGGCGGTTGAGAGAGTAGCGCGGGGATTTGGGTTCCCCGCCTTATTGTATATAGGTGTGACTGTTTTTAATTCACTTGTATTTAGGTTATTTTATTTTTTTTATTGTATATAGTTTTTATTTATTATTATTTAGTTATTATTTTACTTTCGTTAATTTTATTTTTTATTTTTGTATATACGGTGTGAGTGTGTTCATTTATCAATATAATTATTGTCCCTGTGACAGAATATTATATGTCTAAATAAATAAATAAAAAAAAAAAAAAAGAAAGAAGAGGAAATAAGCTTTTAGGAAATATGCTTTCCCGAGAGACGTTAAAATAGGTGTAGGTAACATCCCAGCAGTAATCGGATAAAGAGATGTGAATGAGGAATGAACCATATAAGAAAAGTTATATCTGATTCAGCCGACCGACATTGTAAGAGGGATGGAGACAGAAAGTTAAAAAACGTGTGATTTGACCTGGAGTATGAAGAAGCAGTTAATGTGCAGAACGAAAAGAGGAAAACAGGAATACTATACAGAACAGAAAGGAGTACCAGAGCCAGAGCTAATGCAAAAAAAAATCTGAGGCACAAGAAAAGATATGCATTACAGGAAAACTGGCGTAAGTTGGAATAGTACAGCAGGAACAATGAGGCCAGAAAGTTTTTCGGTGAAATAAGTAAAATAAAATCAGGTTTTATAAATAACTGTCTCATGATAAAGCGTTCTGATGGGAAATGGTCTTCCAGGATCAGGATATGCAAGGTAGATGGATTGAGCATTTTCAGGAATTGCTAAACCCTAGGGAAGATGATGAGTATCCTGATAAGGATTTTCGAGACACTGAGAATGACCATGAAGTGAGCCCACCCGATTTAGAGGGGTTGGTCTGATTGTTAACAATTTCAAGAATAACAAGGCTTCCGGTTCAGATGTCATACCAGCGGAGTTTTTGAAGATTGGTGGGTCAGCACTGGCTGAGGAGTTGACTCATCTGATCGTTAATATCTGGGAGACCGAAAAAATGACGGATAGCTGGAAGGAATCTGTCATCATTCCCTTACTCAAGAAGAAAGGTGCTTCCACAGGCAGCAACTATTATCGGGGAATAAGCCTCCTGAATACTGCTTACGAAATATTTTCTATTATTTTATATAATCGAATTGTGGATTTTGTGGAACCTCGGTTGGGCGATTACCAGGGGGGTCGCGCATCATGGGGCCAGTTAAAGAGAATGCTAAATGGCGTTTAAGAAAGAACAATAGGATCTAAGACTTATTCGACGATCTTCGAATTTCTCACTTCGTGCGAATTCAGCGCTTAAAATGGCAGGGACACATTATCAGAATGGATAAAGGCAGAGCTGTGAGGAACTTATATTATGGAACCCCGGATGGAGTAAGACCACATGGAAGACCGAAGGGAAGGTGGAAGGACTCCATGGCTGAAGACTTGATGATGGTGGGAGTATCCAGGGGCATGCTGCTGACTGAAATGATTGGGAATGGGCAGTTAAGAGGGCTAAGGGCAGCTTTATGCGCGTGTCGAGCCAATAATAAATAAATAATTTGTAATGATAGAAAAACGAAAGGGAAAAATCATAGACCTGAAAAAGAAATTCTGTGAACAAATTATCATTACGATAAGTCATTTATAAAACCAATAAAGTTTAGGAAGCCTAACTTGCGGTATCTGTTGAGGCTGGATTATCTTTTTTATCAGCTGGTAACAAAGTGTGGGCTTCTTCTGCTTCCTGGGAAAAAAATTAGTTTTGAAAATTACAATTTATTTAAAATAAATAATAAATTACAAAGAGCTAAAAATCATAATTGGAATGATCTATATTTTATCGGTAATAAATAAATTCATAATTTTTGTCATAGATATAATTATGTTATATTAAGTCAGTGGTACAGACTACTTATTTATCAAATTATTAACATCCGCCTGAAACTTAGTGAATAGCTGTATCGTAACCTACAATCAGGGGTACCCATCCCCTCAAGATCGATGGCGCATGAACCACTTCTCCTTCTTCACCTCCCACCCCTTAAGATAATTAATTAAAAACAATGCAAGCAAAAGTAGAATTTAAAAAGACATAGCTCATTTACAATTTTTTTATTTTTTTTTTATTTAGTTCTCCCCTTCCTCGCCTTTAAGGCTATACGGGGTTTTTGCCGGGCCAGGGGGTGTGGGCAGGGATTTAAAAGACTCTTCCGGCACCGGGATGCGAACTCGTGACTATTTTAAATCCAATGTCTCGTAGGTCAGGTTGGCGGGTAACGGATGCTGTGCACACACGTTAGCCTGTTCGGCAACCCCGCCTACCATGTACAATTACACTTGATGCGGTCTATTTCATGTTTGCCATTTGTCCCTTAGTTCGAAACTTTTTTTTCGAAATCCATAACTCTGTAAAAATATTCTTCCCTGAAAAGTTCAAAACCCCATCAAAATGTGCCCCCTCAAAATTTTTGATGGCACAAGCTGCAGGTGCGCGTGGCTTCTGCCCTGATTACAACTATTTTATTTACGAAAACACTTGGAATTGGGGCGTTTTTAATATGGATGTTAACGAACTTTGTCTATTTAATTAAGTACTAAAAACTCTTATGTACACATCTGCTTTCCGTTAGAATCATAAGATAATTTGATCACAAACTCGAGAAAAAATATGGAAAAAAAAATTGGATCATTTAGTTTACATAACCTCGTTATTTTGGGGATCTAGGTCACTCCGACTGGCTCAATATTTTTTAAGACCAGCTTTTTTCTCGAGTTTGTGTTCAAATTATCTTATGATTCGAGTGAAGAACAAATGAATATTTACGAGTTTTTAGTACCAAATCGACCTCCAGATTGAAAACGCCCCAATTTCGAGAATTTCCGTAAAGTAAATATTTCTAGGTTATAGATAAATGGATAAATAGATTATAGGTTATATGTAAATAGATGAATCTATTTACGAAGTTTCAGGCGGATGTTAATAATTTGATAAAAATGGGTCTGTATCACGGAATAATTAATCTTATATCCAAGCTCTATAAATTGTTTTTTGTTTTTTCTTTATTAATTAGCTGTTTTATTTTTTACTTTGTTTCTCTTATTGCTCTGCTATTAAAGAAAAAATTCTAACCATAAACTGAAACGGGATCTTGCGCGTCATTTGGGTACACACTCAGAAGACTGATTCGTCTTTTTTGTATCAGTGATTTTCGGGGCTATTGCCGCGAGTTCTGTGATCCGTCTTGTGACGTAATCGAACTGGTACTAGTATCGATGGGGAGAACTATTCCAGCAAGTGGGACGTGTAGTTCTATTTACCTAGCTAGGTTTCCCTATCTACGCTCAGTTCGTATCTGAAATAAGGTGAAAATTTAATCTACATCGATCCAAACAGGGCTCTCTGAGATTCTCAGCTTAGCATCCATCATCAGGATCAGCGGTTCCCATCCCTCCAAGGCCCGATGGCGCATAAACCTACCCCCACTCCTCCTAAGACATTTTATTCCTCTCTTCTTCTTAAAAACAGTGCAAGCGAAAGTAGAATTTGAATATTATATACCATTACACATATGCACACATATGATCTGAAACTTTTCATTCTAAAAATTCAATACGAAATGGGCCTCTCTCAAAAATTGAAAACGTCGTCAATAAGTGCCCCCCTTCATAATTTTGTTGGCGCAACTTGCACCATAAAAGCCTCTTCTGAGCACCCCTGATTAGGATTCTTTGTTAAAAGAAGTAATAAGAAGTGAGTACATATGTTAAAATGTAATAATTGTTATAATTCTAATTATGTTAATATTGTCTCTTAAAGAACCAGCCACTCGCAAAAATAATAGACCAGTCCATCAATTGCGGAGACAAGTGTAACTTAATAACTGTCTGAATAAAGGAAATTTAAAGTCCGAACATGGCAGTAAGGGGGGTAAAAACAAGAACAGTATTTTAATCACCAAGCATAGCAATCGGTTTATAAATAATGGATCCAACATTACGACAATTTAGCTTGTCTTTTTCATGATCGATCGTAGTTTGCTTTTCCTATATAAACTGTAAGGGAACTTTCAAAAGGTCATGAGAAGCCTGGAGGTAATTTTAATTCTTGAATATTATGTTAACAAGATTGACAAATTTTTACTGTAAAAAGGCTGGGTGATGAAATTATAATTCAAGACAGGAAAAAATCAACGAATGAAAAGACGAAAAAGCCAGATGTCTATTCTTTATTTTGGTATTGCCAGCAAATGAAAATAGATTTTAATTCAATCTTCAAAGGTAACTATGTCACTAAGCACCAGAAGAAAAAGGATGTTAATTCTATCTCCTAAATGTACAATATTGTACTATGGGTGATTTCAGTTTGGAATTTTGGGTTTATACTTTGGATAGATCAGAAGTAGAAACGCCAGGAGAATATGGAAGAAAAATGCATCACAAATGAATCCCAGACTTTCCAGATCTGAGCTTTTATTATCAAGTGAACTGTACCATGACAGCCTGTATTTTTTTAAATGCTATTTACAAGTTATAAAAATACTTCTTAATTGTTTTCTTTAATAAACAAAGTTTTGTGATAAAAAGTATATTGGTATCTTTATTTTATCAGAATAAAAAAAAATATTATCTTGAGTTACATTCCCTTCTATGGAAATTTCTTGAATGCTTGATCTCAAAAGTAACATCGAGCTGAAGCATTACGAAACGAAAAAAAAAATCAAAAATGTCGCTAGTTTTTAATGACATTTTATTTAAATTATACGTTTTATCTAATCTTTACTAAAATGAAGTGTGAGTTTTGTATTTAGATCCATACAGATCCAGAAACTAAATTATCCAATAATTTAACAAGAAGTTTTATAATTTGCAGGTTGCCTGTTAAATTTATATCTCTTTTAAAAAATTGAAGAAATATTATAATTGTAAAATTAATTTAAAAGTTTAATGCTTACCGGTAATGCTTTCTTGTGCCAGGAAACTGGTTGAAATAAGCAAGCTCCTACCACAGCATGAAGAGATAGTGCCCCAATTATGAGAAGAGCGGAACGAAAATCATATTCATCCAGCAAGAATCTAAAAATAAAGTAACTCAGAAATTATTTGGTATACATTCAATTTGCTCAATACGTACAGTACTACTTTTTTATTCAAAAATACATTGTACTCTCGCTAATCGGAACATTACTGATCCATACCGTTTCGCAATCCGAATCTGTCCTTTAAAAAAATCTTTTCAGAATTGACTTAAAGGTTATACAAAGTTAAAAATAATCTTAGGTACTTTAAACATACATTTCCATTAAATTATAGTGTTTTACCTGACAATTTGAGGCATCAACATATACCCTACAACAGTGCCAGTCATTGAAAGAGCGATCGCCTGTCCTTTCTTTTTTGTGAAGTATTCATTCATAACTATCATGGTAGATGAATTAGCAAGGCCGAATCCAATACCTAGGACAATTAAAAATCACATATATATATATATATATATATATATATATATATATTTGTATATAATAATTGGGACGGCTTTTAGGGCTGGGCCACATCAGGGTGCGTCAATTTTTTCAGTGCCCCATCCTGTATTATTCTTCGTTGATCTTCGACATTTTTTTTAAGTTAACAATTTTGATGGACTATAGCAAAAAACATCTTCTCAAGTTTTTTAGAGCTTAAAGTTTACCTCAAGTATAATCTACTGAGGGCAATTGAATTTGCCGAAATTTGCAAATTCCGACGATTTTTATTTTTTATTTTCATACTCATCACATAATACAAACTTTTTTTTCTTACAAATTTAGAAAAATGTGAATAAATCCAAGAAAACTGAATCAATCTTTGAGCAAATACTGAGTCAATTTGATCTGCACGATGCTCCTAAAGAAATGTTGAACAATATAAGAAAGACTGCCAGTTCACTCTCATTTACTTGGAGGCAGACCTAAGAAAGTGTTTGCAGCGTTGTGTGAGAAAGATATTATGACAATGCTTTCTCTCACCCAGAACTTGCTTTATGGAGAAGAAATGTAAAAAGGTAAAGCAAAATCATTCTAGACATTAATGAATATATATTAGAGATTAACTTACGATTAGACTGAAAGAATGATTCGGTTCGTGAGCAACTGACTTTATTATTCTCCTCATCCTTTATATATAGATACAGTTTGTTTGTAAGCATAAAGGTTTCTTAATCCTAAAAGTACAGAGTGTCTATTGATACCGGTTATATACAGCTAACTCCCTCCCTCCAGTTCCTTCGTATGGAGGAACTTATATATAAATAAAAATAAAATAAAATAACACATAAAAACACAAACTCAAACAAAAATAGATAGCAGATTCACTACCTTAAACATACTTATACTTAAAACAAAAGAAGATACAGATATCCTAAACTACAATAACTTAACCTATATACAATGGAATTGATCTATCAAATATTAAAAAAAAAATTTACACTCTACTTCTGTAATGATATCGACTACAAATTAATCACTATCGCTATAAAAAAACATAGAAACTGGAAAGTAAGAAAAGAAAAACTTCCTAGCCGTGAGATGGTCCAGGCTGAGCACAGCCGTCCGTCTCGTTTTCTGGCATGATCTGAGGTACCCGAAGTTCTTCAAGGTGTACCGTACGTGATCGAAACGGGTAATTTACATCCCTGATAGTAAATAGATTATTCTCCCGTATGGTGATGACTTTATAAGGTCCCTCATATCTCGCGGCTGTTTTAGTGCGAGCGGTCCGTAATCGTCTATACACTATGGTTCCCAGCGCTAACGGGCCCTTTCTATAAACTATGGCTCGGTTATTTGCCTTAGCCACCCGGGTTTGCTTCTCTCAAATTAATTTTTCGCGTACCTTTGCCCATGCTGTTTGCCGCCCTACTCTCGCCTGATAAATCCTAGCTTTAAGGTCGTTATTGTTAGCCGTGATGAGATCCCCTCTATCACGTCGCCTCTGTCCGAACACAATTTCGACTGGTGATAATCCCGTCTCGGCATGAATGGTATTATTGTAGGCTATGACAGCACGTGACATAGCATCGAATGGATCGAGATTACGACCTAACTTGAGCAGCCGCAAGTGTTCCGCTAGAGTATTATGGAGCCGTTCCACGGCGCCCCTTCCCTTAATGTGATGTGGGGTGTTCAAACGCCAATTGATGCCCAATGTTTTGCTCTCATCTCGAATTAGAGATTTATCGAACTCTCTACCGCAATCTGAGACAATTTCGTCTGGGACACCGTAGAATGCGCCATTGCAAAATCCCTTCCCAAACCGCCCCAGTGTACTGGACTCGAGAGGCCGGAGGAGCGTCAGTCCCCACTAACTGTGCTAGCCCCTGCGGCACTGTTGTAGGTAGAATATACAATAACAAATAACATCAATTAATTAATCCTAATAGTTAGTTTATGTTTTTCTAGAGAATAATTCTTATCTAATCGCTTAGTTATCTTGTCTACTGTAAAGCATTCATCTGCATCTATTGATAAAATCAATCAATCACAGCTTCGAATACAATGACTATTTTAAAAACTGAAGCTCTTTATTATCCTCTTTATTGTTCACATTAATTGCCATAAAATAATTCTTTCAATTTTCTTTATTTTTATAAAATTCAGCTTTTCACAATATCTCTTTTAACCTTGAACTGGATCCGCGCCAGCATAATCATTACCTCGTTTGCGTATATTTCTCTTCTAATACATTATAGTTTTAAATAAATTTCCTCACTATATTTTAATTACTTTATCCACTTAAATTTAGTAACTATCGTTATAAGAATAGGCTAATCCAAATCAGTTCAATCTCTTTTCCTCCTCTATTTCTCAACCTATTTCCTTTTTTTTGCTTTCTCACTACCTAAAGTAGGGAGGCATTGTATTTGTGCGAGAAGCTAAAAAAAATTTGTGCTCAGAATCGAAAATTTCGATTCGCGTTTACGTTTCAGACATCAAGGATCAAATTTGGTTCGGCGTCTGTCAATGTGTCGGTCTGTCTGTAGTCAAATTGATGTGATGGCCATATCACCTACTATCTTTCATCTGATTTTCAGGAAATTTTTAGGGATTGTGTGGGTTGGTTTCTAGATAGTCTCATATCGATTTTATTGGATTCCATCCACCACTTCCGCTTGTACTTTGTATGCACACGTGTAAATGTATTTTTATAGATATGCCAATATTTCAGAAATGGCTCATTCGATTTGGCTCAAAGTTGGATAAAAGATTGGTGAAAAAATAATGTAGTATCAATGTTATTGAATTCTATCCATTACTTTCTCTTATATATGCGTAAACGAGTTTTCCTTGATATGTCTATATCTCTAAAACTCCCCGTTCGATTTGGCTCAAATTTGGAGGGAATCAATGGATTGATAAACGTAAAATGAAATAGCCATCAATTTTATCCACTACTCCAAAACTTCTACTTCTACTTCAAAAAAAAAAAAAAAAAAAAAAAACTTCTGCTTTCAGGTCAGGAAATTTATTATTTGACACGCCTATAGTTTGGAAACTTCGATTTGACCCAAACTTTGAGGGAATTCGAAAAATAGTATAGAAATTCCTCAGTATCAATTTCATTTAATAATTAAAATTAATATGAATAATTGTTAACAATATAATGTCTGTGAAATGTGGAAGGCATTCATTGATCATTTGGAGTGTGAGTTAGGTTAAGACCATATTTTTATGGGGTTATAAAATTTTAATTTGTATTCAAAAAGTTAACTCATAATGAATTATCTGGGCGACTCTAAACGTTACTGACATGATACTTACTGCCGTTACTCAGATTTCGTACAATTAAATTAATTTTCAGTATGAGTTTGTAAAAAAAAAAAGTACTACTTGTGTTGTGTTTATTTAAATTGAAGGTCAACCAACTCATGGTGGTCTCGATTTCCACCTTAAATATCAAGGTTGTTTGAAGTTCACATATATTTTTATATTCCAGCTTAATTAGTATTGTACGGATTAAAAAAAATGTATTGGTCTCGTTAACTCCGAACAAACAAAAAGTTGAATTTTTTCTATGGATTTTTTGTTCTATCCATTTTACAAGTGAAAACATACATATTAAGTTTGTATCACTACTGTTAGTGCGAAAGGGCGTATGTTAAAATTTTAACTTTTAATCTGTTTAAGCTACAGGTGATATTTTATAGTTTGCAACTTATACAATCAGCCTTCTATGATGCAAAAAGCAGAGGGAAATAAAATATGAAATTATACTAATAAAAATAAAGAAACAATAAATTAGTTTTTATGGAATAATGTAAAACATTCAATTTTTACATACATTAATGTTCAGTATGCACTGGAATCACGAATCATCAAATATGCAGTCTGCAAATCTCGAACTCTTTCGCATTTTAATATTCGCTGATGAACAAAATTCTTGGAAATCAAACCTGTATATATTGAGGGATTGCTAAATTTCCTAAAACCGATTCTCCCAGATATTTTATTCTTATAGGAAAAATTTTAGAACTTGTAATACAGATATTTGTTTTGGCCAATGAAAACGGTGAGGAAGCTATACTGACTTTACTTGGGAGACCTTTTTTTTTTTTGTTTAGTTGCTGTTGTTACCAATAAAATAACTTGATAGCTAAATAGCTTGAATGTTACCAATAAATAAAATTGGAAAGAGTTTATAAATAAAAATTAAAATGTTAGTTTCTTCAAAACGGCTATCTTCTCATTGAAATCTTCTCATTGAAGCCATTTTAATTTATCTATTCACCATACTTTCCCGAAAGAAAGTAAAGATGGATTTAGAATTTTATTCGTAAATTACTCAATATAAAATAACAATGTAAAATGCACAATCTTTGGTTCACTAAACCTATGAGTATTTGAAATATTTTCCAAATTATTTCAGTTAAATTTTTGGAAGAACTCTGTTACGACAAATCTGTATTTTCTATATTGCTATAGCATAAGTACGATGTTAAAACGAACCCATTGTACAGAACGAAGGAGCAAAATGGGTTAAACTATTTAAATCATTATAATGAGATATCACATTGAGAAAAAAAAATAGCGAAGAATTCACATTTTTATATGTCAATAACTCAAAAATCACACAAATGGTACTGCGCTGTTTTCTTTTCTAAGTACTTATAAAAGTGAATTTTTCAAATGCCGTCATTCGACCACCCGACATATTGCTTCCCAGTATAAATTAGATTTTCTTATATATTGATTTTAAAGTGTTTTTTCTCTTATCTCCGTCAAGAAAGGACATACGGGTAGGTGGTCTGCATCCATTGTTCCTTGATGACACAATTTACAGCTAGGATCCTCAGCTACGCCTATCTTGTGGAGATGACTCTGCAGATAGTCGGGACCAGCCGCCAGGCGGAAGCAGACTACTGCATCTTTTCTCGGTAGTTCAATTACAAATATAAAAGAGTATAGGAAAATTTTTTGGAAACATGCAAATCCATTTTTTTTTTCAAATACTGAATAACGATTATGGAAAATTTGCCATCAAAAACATCAGAAGAGATTTTGATTATTAATACCTCCAATTAATGCATACGTAATCATGATGTGCAGCATACTGTTTGCTGGGGCAGTCGATAGAAAGGCTGTGGTACATAACGCCGCTCCTAAGATAGCTACTTTCCTGTAGGAATACTTCTTTGCTAGAGGTCCGACAATAAGACCTGAAAAAAAAATTAAATCACTTTATTCATTTATCAATTTCCCATTTTTGAAAGTGTGCTGTAAAGTTATTAAAAACAGAGTTTAAGTACATATAGTTTAAACCAAATATAAATAATCCCTGTTTTATTTTCTATCTTTCTGAGAGCGTGCACTATATCACGATAAGGATATCACTATATCACATCGATGAATGCACTATTTTAAGTTATTTTCATATTCTTGACTAATTTTATTTTTTAAAACTTCAAATATATGATTTATATGCATTTATACAATTTTTTCAAGGATCATGGGTACAAATATTTATGATAATTAAAAAAAAAATATGATGCTAGTATTTATTATTGAGGGGAACGCTTGCATACTGACTGCATTGTCAATTAAGTAAAGTGTCAGCTGTGTACTGATGCGTATCTTAACAATCATAGTAATTCAGATATAACTTGAGTGAAGTTCACACAACTTTGGTATTTATTGAGAAAATCGAGACCGCGACGAGGTGGTTGAACATCAATAGAAATAAACACAACAAAAAATAGGACGTTTTTTTTTCTTTTTACAAACTCAGAGTAAAAATCACTTTAAATTTATTGAAAGTTACACGAAATCTAAGTAACGGCAGTAAGTGTCATGCCCGTAACCTTTGGAACCGACCAAACAATACAGTATCAATTAATTTTTTGAATAAAACATAAAATTTTATAACCCCATAACAATATTGTAATAACCTAACACCCACTAAATATGATCAATGCTGTCCTAATTTCACAGCCATTATATTGTTAACAATATAACAACTGGCTAGGCACCAATCCTCACAATCCCTTAAAATTTCATGAAAATTGGATGAACGGTACTGGGTAATATGCCCGTCCATCGATTTGACTACAGACAGACCGACAGACGCCGAACAAAATTTGATTCTTCATATCTCAAACATAAAACGCGAGTGTACACTTTCGATTCTGAGCACATTTTTTTTTTTTTTTTTTACCTCTCGCACTAATACAATGCTACCCTACCTTCGGTAGTGGGGAAGCAAAAAGGAAAAGTTCACAATGATTAAGTTTATACCCCCGCTCACTGCTTTTTTTGTTTTTTGTGTTCATCTTTATAACTAATTATCAAAACATAATTATCACTGCATTAAAGGTGGTGTTAAGAATACCTGAAAAGTTGGTAATTCCATCCATTGTTGACACTACCAAAGATGCGCCGGTTGTCTCGACACCAAGCTGTTTGAGGAGATCTCCGAAAAGCAATCCAAATGATGGTCCAATGGAAATTGTTGAAACCTGCAGAAAATGAAAAAATATCTTTACGATTCGTAATAAACGTCCTATCAATAATAACGGCGAAACCCAAATGTTCAAGAAATGTAAATCAAGACGTTAACTAATATGAACATAAATTATCCTTAAGCAAACACTTTGTGTTTCGCTTTAAATATGTTTTTGTTTTTCCTTTTTTTTTGGTACTAATAATGCTTTAAAATAATTCAAATAGGTAATAATTATAATTCTTACTCATCGAGCTTTAATAAAAGCGTTAGAGTAAGTTCTTGAACACATCTCTGAATCACCGACAGCGTCGTTTCACCCAGTTTAGAGAGAGATCCGATGCCATCAATTAGCTTAGAAACTTTCCCTTAATTAATGATTTTCAAAATGTTACTCACGTTCATTATACTCGATCCTAAAACAACAAGCCATCCCCATCCGCCATCAGGAGGTACCATCTTCGTGTAGGATTTTCCAGTCATATTTACCTGAAACGGGGATTAAACAATCATAACTAAGACAATTAACAGGCAATATATTTGTCGCTGAAGGAGTAGTGTTGTCCACTGGGTGATCGAACATAATATAATTAACGTTTTCTTAGTCAATGTGCTTCCCAGGGATCAATGAATTATTCACATATTTGAATTAGTAAATAATATTTTAATTTTATATGTTATTAGAATATTATGTTGAATTTATTAGGATCAATCTATTTATAATCACCCTGACCACATTAATCGATTTTTTTTTATTTTAATAATTTCTTTTACTAGTTATTGTTTAATTAATGTTAAGTTTAAAAAAATGTTAACGCTTACTATTTTTTGTTTCCATCCATTCTGAATTTACATTTCGATTGAATGAAAATGTCTCGAACTCTGGTAATTTATATCAAACCAAAAAAAGTAAAGTTGTGATGATCATTTTCCCTATTTTTTTAAAATTTCAATTCAAGACCTTGGAAGAAAGGAAGATGGTTTAAAAATTATGAAAATCAACATAAAACCAGACTATCAACCTATCAACAGGATAATAACGAAAGCGAATTCTTTGAAGAAATTTCAATCTCAAAAATCTAATCCTTTTTTAAATATGAGTTTTCAAATATGGCCAAGAGTGATTTATGGCAAGATAGGTTTATTAAGGCAGTGATTAAGAAATTATGGAACATACAAATTTTGTTCTTTATAATAGGAAAGTATGGCACAAATTTGGCGAATCAATTGGTTGCAGAATTTTATTCTATCAATATGTCTGAAATTTGCTTCATCTAAACAAAAATCAGCAAATTTTCTCATTAAAAAAAAAAACTGCCTTCGAAAGATAAACGAAACGAAAAGTATTTATTGTTATTATTTTGACTTGAATTCTCACTAATTCGTTCAGCCCTTCACTATCCCTTCTGGTTTAGAATAGATTTGTAACAACTTCATTAATATAAAAAAAAAAAAAATTAATAATACCGAAACTAAGATCTAATCTCTCGTTAAAAATTAAAATCTGGATATAAAAATACCTCAAGCTGAAATTTGATAAGAAAGTTCTCTTCAGTACGCCTTGTGAAAAATCAATCGATTGTGATAGGGAATCAGAGATTGATGCTCATTATTTAACATGTAACAACAAAATATTCCTATCAAAGAATTGAATGTTTTTTTTAGAAATAGGATAATAACCAACCATTTTTGTTAGCGACTTAAACAGCTTCAACACTAATATTTGAACATCACGTTATATTCCTAAAGATTTATGATTTATGATTATTAAAAAAATTCTTTAAATTTTAATAAAAAAGTTTTGGAATGTATAATATTGGATACTTCAACACGATTAAAAAATCGTTTTTTAATCTTATTATTCATAAAAGTTAAATATCAATAATTGATCTGGTTTATATAATATATAAGCACCTAAGTAATTTCTTCCTTCATTCATCCCTTCAAACCTTCAATGTCCTGCATTGCTGATCCCTTCTATGTCAGGCATTTGACTAATTAACCAATTTAAGAACAATTCAAACAAATATATTCGATTATTTGTAGAGACCGTATGTAGAGAGAAAAATCAATAGACGTTTCATCTATATCTATGTGTTAGGTTTTATTTTGAAAGTTTCGTTGCTAACTGATAGAAAAAGGTACTAAGCCAATATTAAATTTACTTAGTCCTCGTTATTGTTTAAATTTCTCTTCCTTTAAGAATTATGTTAATTGGAATTTATTGCTGGATTATATTATGCATTGTTGTCCTTCGTTTATTATAATCTGGGATTTCATTTACAATGTTGCATATTAATTTCTTTATTTTTTTTTTTTTTTGTTTCACATTATTTTAATTCAAAAGCTTAATAAAATAAATGAACGTAGAATTTATAATGAGAAAAACACTTTCACATTTTCATATAAAATATAAAAGCTTGCTGTCCAATTATATTGGATTGCTTTACACACACAGCATACTGGTTAATCTGTAAGACAATAAATAAAACTTATATATAAATATACAAAAGTGTATATACGAGAATAATAAATTTTTTTTCCTTGTTCTTGCCCTTTTTTTAATTTTTTTTTTCTTCCCCTTCTCTCTCTTTCCCTCTCCTTATACATCTTTCTTATGTATACAGTATTAAATTATTCAATAGAACAAAAAACAAAAGTGTATATACAAGTAGAATTAAATACAATTTAATATAAAACAAATATAATACACATTTTTTCAATAAACAAATACATAAATTAAAACTCTCACCCTACCCATACACGTGGTGATGAATGATTCCCAGGGTGTTGAGGACTATATCTTCAGCCAACCTCGCTACGTCCTTAATGTCGACAATTAAATCTTCGATACTCACTCCGACATAAAAAAAAGTTTATTTGCCAAAAGGTATACAATGAACAAAATATATATACATTACAACAACTAAACTAACTTTGGCATCGAACTATCTACTATGAATGACTATATCTGACTACTTGCTAGGCGGGTAAGGGCGGGGTATTTATACAGAATCAGGAGAAATATGCTGACTATAGGGATTTAACATTATTTGGGTACCTTAAGTCCTCTCTTCTGAAGTTCTCGAGCTCCGAGAGAGAAGAAGTGGATGAACAGAGTTGGCAGATGTAGATGGCTGGTGTACAAGTTTTTCCTTTGGACTTGATGTACTAGCTACTTGCCTTTGTTGGCTAAGAATACCTGAGGATTTAAACATTGTATAACAATTATAAAAGTTAACAAATAAAAGATATAAAACAATAATAGTTAATGCTAGTAAATAATAATTAATGTTAAAATCGTTTTCATCATTAATAGTTAGACTTTCAAACATTTTATTGCTGAAAGTAGGTATCTTAGGTTGATTAAAAGTTAAATTCAAATGTCTATAATCAGAAATTACATGAAATGAAGAAAATACCTCCGTAAATACATAATTATCTTTAGTATTGTTTAAAATTTCTTCCTTATCACTTAATTTAATAATAGCAGTTTCTGGTAAAATTACTGGATAGGATGAATTATTTTGGATAGTGATATGTTTAATCTTAAAACTAACAAAAACATCAATTGTTTCTGCATAAGATATATAAGGTTCTAAATTGTTAATAGTTGTGGTTAAATAATTACTTAAATTATTATGAAACGAATTATTTATACATGTATCATTAATTTTATTACAATAATAATTAGTTTTTATAAAATTACACTCTCCCTTATACACTTCTGCATTATTATATAATACCATTTGATTACTAACCATTGTTGTTATAGCTTGATTACTCTTTCTTACTGAAACAGATAATAAATATAAATTACTAAAAGTTTTAGCTTTAGTAGGTAACTGTATCATTTAATGGATAGTATTATTTTTAATCATACAAGATATTTTACTTGTGAGCCATAATGTCTCAAGATCAGAGCTTACAAATTCTGAATTATTATTTATATCAAAATTTTTTGAAATACTGGAATGTGTTATTCCAAGTTTACACATTTGTAAGGAATTTTGAATGTCCATGATTACAATGGTGATATAGTTTAGAATGTCGTATAATTCATTTAAATGGTTTGTTAATGTGATCTTGTCAACAGTCTTTATTAAATTGGCTAATTTGTTACTATTAGTATTAATTAATCTAATGTCTTTTTGAAACGTTTTAACTAAATCTTTGTTAATTTGAATTTCTTGAGCTATATTGTGTTCCATAAGATGGTTGTTTTCTTCTAGAGTAGTAATGACCTTATCATAATGCGCCTTGTCATCAGAGTCAAGGTTTCCAGTAAGCCAGTTGATTGCACTTCCTATGCCGTTTATCAGGCCTATTTTTCTTCTATTACGTGGAGCATCAATAATATAACCAACTTTATCTTTTTGGAATATTAATTGTTTGGAAATTAAGTCATATTGGTTATGTTGCTTACAATCATTTAAATCTCTTTCTAATATTGATATTTCATTTATGAAATTAGAAAAATTTAAATAATGTATGATTGTTTTGTATTTTTGTATTACCTTGGAATCAGATAATTTAAACGTAACCAGTTCTGAAGAATGTCCTGGATTGATTATTTCATATTGTCGCGATGTCTGAATCATCAGAATCAATATCCATATCATCTTCATCATCTGAGATATAATATTTTCTTTTAGTTTTTCGTTTTCTTTGGATATTATCTGCATGCACCTTAAGGTTTTTATTTTTATGCTTAAATTTATACACTTTTCTAAATGGATTTTCATCTTTATTTCTAGTTCTAACCTTTATATAAGGTTCATCTTCAATTATTTCATTTTCCTTATTTAAGGATTCAGTCCTTACTTCTTTTTGCTTTTCAATTTTATTCTTTATATGCTCATGAACTAAATTTAAGTCTTTATGATATTGATTGATTAAGTCTTCGTGAATGATTGATAATTTTTTTTCAGGGTGTTTTATAGCACCAAAAATGATTTCATTCGGCGATAATTTAAGTTTTTATTTAAAGAATTATTGTAAGTGACTAGAGCTAAATTTAAATTTGTGTTTAAATCTCGTTTTTTATCATTATTTTTGTAAGTTCTAATGATTTCTATCAATGTAAAATGAGCTCAGTTCATGAGACCAAGAGAATTAGGATGATTAGGATTTTTATAACAAGCTTCGATTCCTAAGCTTTCTAATAAGTTTTGAACTAAGTTGTTTTTATATTCCTTTTCATTGTCCATTTTTATTCTTATTGGATTTGGGAATAAACTTAAATATTTTGTAATTATTTTAAATATATTAATAGCATTACATGCTGTGGTTATTTCAGCAGATATTTTATTTTTAAATGTATCAATAATAGTTACAATATACTTCTGTTCGAAGTGGAGAGTACCTATCATCAACTCCTCGAATGGTCTCAAAGTTGTTGGTGTTACTTAAAATTTTATTTTGATAGGTTTCCTATCATATTTAATCTTTCTGCAGATATTACATAGATTGATAAACTGGGCAATTTCTTCTTTCATTCTAGGAAAATAATAAGTCTTTTTCATTTTTTCAAAAGATTCTAAAACTCCTGCGTGGAATGATTTACCGGTACGATAATTATTAATCAATTCTGTTTGTTCTTCTTTCGTTTCTACATTTAAGACTTTGGTTTTATGTCTTTTAATTTTGACATTAGAGAATTTCTCCGTAATTATTGAAAACATATTTTGGAATATTCCTTCATAATCACTTCTAACCGTTTCTACGTTAGGTTCACAATAGACTCCATAAATTTTGTTTGGTTTTAATATTTCAATTAAAGATTCTTCCAAGTCATTACTCCAAGGACACGCTGTTTCTATAAAAGATATATTTGTACCGAACGTTTTTCGAACTTGAGTCGAATTTGTTTTTTTCCTCTTTGGATAAAAATTTGATTTTTTTCTATGTTGATCGGTTTTGATTCATCAACAATAAATATTTGTTCATTACTGTTTTCTTGAGAATGTTGGGTATTCAAACTTTCATTATCGAAGCTGGGATAATTTAATTCATTTTCTAATTGAGCATTATTATTTTCTAAATCAATGATATTTCCTTCTTCCATTTCCATATCTTTATCTTCTAACATATTTCCATCAAAATCAAAAACATCTGGGGATGTCAATGGCATTTGTGAGGTTTCTCCGAGTATTCTGTCAAGTTCTAATGCTGAATCCTCATCTAAATCATGATTTGTCATTGCGTTAATTGTTATTCGTCTAAGAGCGTCTGCAATGAAGTTAGTTTTGCCTTCAATATAGTTTATTTCAAAATCGTATTCGTGCAAAAAAAAAAAATCCATTTCATTATCCTGGAATTATTATTTTTCATAATGAATAGCCACTGCAAGGGTTTATGGCCCGTCGGAATTGTAAATTTTGCTCCATATAAGTAAGGTCTAAAATGTTTTGTAGCGTATACGATTGCCAAAAGCTCCTTATCGTTACTGGAAGATTTTTGTTCTGTGTCATGTCATTTCTGCCGTTGTGTAATATTTATTATATAATTCAAAATTGATTCGATCTAAGCGTTCTCATATATCAAATTGTTAATCATTTTGTCCAAATAATTATTTTTCTTATTCTTAAAGATCTATTCAGTTGCTTTAAAGACAGCTAATTTATCGGCCTGGTTATTTGAACATTCCATACCCAATCTATCTTTCTGATTTTTCGTATTATCCTTCGATTTCCAAGCACATCCCACATTATCTCCATCCTCTTACTTTCGATAGAATACATTTTCATGCTCAACTAACCTTTGACCACCCTGTCTAGGTCCTTAAGTAGTATTCTGGTTATATCTGTTATTGCGCCATGCCGATAGATCGCGTTCCTTCCATGGTGGCCTATAGATGTCTCACCAGTTCCCATGTTAAAAGTTATATTATTTCGAACACTTGAACAATCATACTTATGATAATAGCTTAGAAATGGCTGATTTTGCTGCGTTAAGTGTTCTGAGCGTGTTCTCCCACAAAAGGGTGTATGGAATTCAAATGACCGCATAACCGATAATTAAATCGATAACATTGGTGAGCTCGAAGCATCAAGATCAATCACATTTGGTGGAAGTGAGAGTAACCGAGGTGCTTGTGTAGATTCTGATCATTTCCTTGAAGTAGCTATATTAAGAACCAGAACTGCTTAGCATCCTCCCACGTCAAAATATATCCTCCTCCAAAATCATGATGGCGCAATTTCGGACATCCCTGCCTCAGAAAATATCAAGGAACTAGTTTGACGAGGCATGGCGTACTGCTTCATGGTTCAAATAACGCAGTGTATACAGTAAAGGTTCAGAGAAGTACACCAGAGGAAATACAGGGTGAAAAGGAGCGAGGAGAAGCTTCTTGCTGCGCTTTAATCTACGCGCACCAAAGAATAACCACAGATTGACATTGCTGTATAGTGGTCTGGGATGATCAGAACCAAATTGGTTATCAATGCTTATGTAATCAGATTCTAGGATGAGGTGCTAGCTTTTCGAAAAGAGTTTTCCAGAGTTTTACGCAAGATGAGTAAAAAAGGGATAGGGTGGTACAAAGAATTCTACATTTTTGGGCTTTTCTATCATTTCGACTATAATAATTTCAAATGGTCAGGAAAACATGTGATGAGAAGAACATCATTGTAAATGTATATGAGGAATAGAATAACTTTTCTGGAAAAATTGATTTAAAAAATGGGATGTCCAGGTATTTCCAGAATATTTTGCAGTTTTTCTAGTTCCTGTAATAACTTGAATTAGCTGTCTTTGATTTTATATAAATACCGAACTTTACTATTCAGAATGTATTCGTACTTTATATATATATACTTAAGAAAGAGTAAAGGTAATTACTCATCCTGAACAAATAAGATATATATTTGTTTATATTTTATTATATCAATAACAGCTGTATTTATTTTTCACCAGATTTATTTTCATTTCACCTCCACAGTGGCTACATTTTGGCTATGATACCATTTTTAAGTAATCTAGTTAATACTGCTCATTCTATTCAGTCCATAATGAATTAGGGAATAAATACCCCTAACAATAATCAAATAAATTTGTCTTTCATTTATTCAAAAACTTTGGTCAAGAAATGGTAATTCCTTATGAATCATTAAACCCTGATCCCAATATAAGAACATTACTGGTACTAGGTGGGGGAACTAGTC